TTAGCATTTCCTATGTGTCATATGTTGTTATAAACCCTCTGTAAATATTATACCACTCAAATCTCACAAAAACCTAGTAGATATATTACTATTATCCCCATTTTGTAGATAATGACACTGAGGTCAAGTTAGAGAGAAGTTGATTACCTTGCTCACGGTCAAACAGGTAGTGAATGTTGCTGCAGTGAAGAATGAATGAATGGGTCTGTTTCTTACAAACAACGCTATTTGATTCACCTTAGAGTCTCTTGCATTGCCTAGGCTAGTATGCAAGTGAGACTTAAATATTTATTAAACCACCATCCTGTTATAAAAGTAGCTTAGTTATGTGAGAAAGAATTACTGGACACCCTGATTGGGGATAAATTGATTCCCAAAACAAAATTATTTTCCTTTACTGAGAAAAAAATAAGCTTTGTTTTTGTTTTTTCCATTTAATTTAGTAAACACATGTTACAATGAGACTAAAAATAGTTTGGAAGATGTTTACCTTTCTCTCCACACCTCTCCATAAATGCTGGGACAATTAAAGTGTCTCAGTTAGTTTGATTATGCAAGATATATAAAAAAATTTTTTCTGAACTTACTAAATTTGGTGTTTCAGGGTTCAAAACGGTTTGCGGAAGAGTAAAACGGTGTTATTTTCAGTGTATTTTTCTCCCACCAACAACAAAAGAAGAAAATGTTTCTACTGAAGTGTTTGATTTACGAAATCTAAATACGTGGCTGCTATTTGACACCCTGGGCCCCTCTTAATAAAGCAGGCAACCAATGATCCCTCCCAGTGAGGTCTTTCTAAATTAGTCCCTAAATATGAGACACCTAAATCCCGTTTTACATTTGAAGTTTGTCAAACTCTGGAAAGCAGCCTGAGGCTTCCTGTTTTATAGTCTTCGACTTAACTTCTCTCAGTACTTTCTCCCTGCTTATAGGAAGTAGGAGGTCTTTTAATTATTTGATGAATGGGGACTCCTTTTCTCTTTGGGATGTCTACTTGGGAGGTTTACTCCTCTTAACATTTTGCCGCTGTAGATATTAAGGAAAACAAATACTTTGGAAGCTGTAGAAAGGATCCTTCTGTGTAGGTTGATGCTAAAGATAATTATGATAACAATAAATCACTTCCTTTGTTCCTGTAGGCCTCAGTATTTCTCCTACAAGATAGTACCCTCATAAATTATCTGCTGGGAAGATTACCCTAAAAATTTAAGACAAAGGAGACCAGAAATTCGTCATCAAAGATTAAATAGCCTTGTTTTCTATACTCAAAAAAATGTTAGTGAATTTCTTTTTCTTCGAAGATTAAGAATAGCAAATCACTGTGCTCACCAATTTGATTCCCTTCAATTGTCCTAGACTTCTGAAGGGGTCTCACTTTATACTATTTTGAATTTCAGAACAGAAAGTTTATTATAACAGCACACAGGTTCTCAGGTGCTTCCTTACTCTACCATTCTGCATTTGAGGCAAGGCATGTTCATACTTCAAGATTACATATTCCTATCACGAAATAAAATAAGCCTAAGAAAGTTTTGATAACCCCTTTTCAAGCAGAAATCAACTCCCTAGAAATACAAATATAAACTGCTTCTTAAAAACTTCTTTGGTGATTATTTGTTCTAACATTAAAGGTAAGCCAAAAATACCACCGGGTGGGTATTTCTGTTGAGATTTAATGCAAGCCAGAAATACCCACAGGGTGAGCTTGTAAAGAGTAGTGACTCAAAGCACACCAGGCTCTGGAAGTCAGACAAGGTGGGTCTGAATACTGGCTGTAGTGCTCCAAGCTGTGTGATCAATATGACAGATTTACTTTCCCTCTTCATCTTCTGCAAAATGGGGACAACAAAAATGCCTACTGTAGAGGAGTGCTGTGGAGAGAATGAGAGGAAGCAATAAAACTGCTTAGTGCAACACGTGGTGCATAGTGAGTAATCAATATATTTTAGTTATTATTATTCTCAAATGCCATGTAGAAAGGCAGTTTATTTTTACTGTTTAGGACAAAAGGGGAACGTTCCTAAAAATTTTTTTTAATTAAATATGAATTCTGTACCAATACATGGATATTAATGTTTTCTTTATATACCTGATTTATTTTCTTGGGGAATTTCAAAGGCTTTCCAGTTTTTACAACTATAATTCACTGCAAAAGCAATAGTACACTTTTTAAGAATAAAAGAGATGCTGATTAAAAGGTCTTACAAGAGAATAGTGAAGAAAAAGAATATTCATTTCCTTTTTGTTAGGACAACAGGAATTTGTTCCTTATCACCTATTAACTACTTGTAATTATATTTATAGTATTGTAGATTACATTGTCACTGACAATCTCACAGACAGTAAGTCAGTTTTAACAAAACTAAACTTCAAAAAGGATAAGTATATAATGAAGTTGGAGTTCCTAAATGTTCCATTGCATTTTAATTAGTTCAAACCCTTTGCCAAACAATTTGACAAATTGGTATTCATCAAAGCCATAAAACTGTATATACTATTGGACAGATATCCAAAAAAGTTTATGCACAAAGATGTCAATTGTATTTTTTTCTTCATTTTTTTGGTAGAAGTGTTATTGACATATAATTCACATCTCATACAAATCACCCATTTAAAGTGTACAAATCAATGGTTTTTTTGTATATTCAGAGTTGTGCAAAAATCACCATAGTCAATTTTTGAACATTTTCTTCAAAAAGAAATCCAACGTCCTTTAGCTATCATCCCCCAATTCTCTCTCTGCCCCCAGTCCTCAGCAACCACCAACCTACTTTCTCTCTTTACATAGATTTGTTTATTCTGGACATTTCATATAAATGAAATTGTTATGCTAAGTGAAAGAAGTCAGTCACAAAAGATTACATATGTTTTCAGGAGTTATGGTACACCATCTATCAGTACCTCCTTTTTATGGCCAAATAACATTCCATTGCATAGAAAAAAACCACACTTAATTTATACATTTCATCAGTTGGTAATCATTTTGTGTTGTTTCAGCTTTTGGTTATAGTGAATAACAGTGCTATAAACATTCATGTGCAAGTTTTTGCATGGATGTGTTGTCATTTCTCCTAGCAACATACCTAGGAGTAGAATTTATATTCTTATGGGAGTGAAAATCATGGTCCAACAATGTAATTAAGCTACACCCTCAAAGGTATTATACAGAAATGCTACTCTCAAGAGTATTATGCAGAAAAATGCTGGCTGTGTAGAAGGAAGACCATATAGTAATACGGAAAAATGAAAAAAGCAGGATATAAACCCACTTAAGATCCTTCCTGGGCTTCCCAGTTCCTCCTCTGTCCTCCAGACTTTTGGATCTCAGCTCTCTGAGGGCCAGCTACACTCTTTCCGATTTTTAGAGTGTATCAGCTTCAGAGCCTTTACACAAGCTTCCCCTGCCTGTTTCACTCTCTCCCCACTTTGTCCAGTGGTTTCAAGTCTCATCTTAAATGTCACTTCCTCAGAGAAACTTTCTCTGATATCCTTAACTAGGTTAAGGTTAAGTGTTTCCATAGCAGCCTGAAATTTTCCACCTTAATACTTTGATACTGGTAATTGTTTATTCAGTCAGTAGTTAAATGTTGAGAGCCTTTACATGCAGGGATACACGGTGAAATAAAACAAGGACGATCCCTGCCATCCTAGACCTTATATTCTAGGGAGAAAATACAATGTACAAGTAAACAACGTACTGATTAATTGCAGACAGCGATAATTAGCTCAATGTTTATTGTCTGTTTGGATTGTAAACTCCATGAAGACAGGAGCTATTTTTGTCTTGGTTACTTCTAGTTTGCTAGAGTTTTGCACTGAGTCTGGCCCGCTGAATAAGCTCAACACATTTTTTTTCAATGACTGTTAAAACGGTCATATAAAAAATGGAAAACACAAAGACTACTTCTGTAAGTGGCTGAGTTTGAGGGTTTTCTCCTTTCCTTCTAAACCTTCTGTAATTCTGCATATTCTTTTTGTAATTGAAACAATTAAAGATGAGCAAAAAATTACCTTAGGTGAGTAAAAGAACCCCCAAATAATACACATTATACCACCACACACTTGTTAAAGACCTCTGGTAATAAAACCTACCCTGAAAGACTCAGATGTGTTGGTTAAGTGGATCGACTGCTCTTGGCGCATTACCAAGCAGGTTCCCGGCCATCAGCAGTATAATTTATAGCTTTAAAAAGGGGCCTTCTTGTGTGCTTAAGGCTATGGTCCCCCAAATTTCTAAAGCGCTTGAGAATCTCACTCCACTCACGATGTGGCTGTGAGAGAACAAAATTTTTGCGAGCTTAACAATGAATGCAAAATCTTTACACAACAGATCACCAACCGCTACCCGATAAATCTTTCTTACGAGCCCCAGAGGTCAGTTAGGTTGGATAAAACGAAGCAGCTTTACGTTCCGCCGAAGGAGCACTGCCCCCCCACCCCGCTCCCCACCTCACAGGCGGAACGCAAAGCTCTTCTTTCTTCCCTGGACGCATGCGCAGCGCACTCTCCGGCCACAGCACGCCTTCCAGCAAGCCGAGCGGTCTCTTACGTCACCGTGCGGTAGGCAAGGAACCCTTCCGCTTATCCAAGGAAAACGAGTCCCCGCACCTTTGACTTTTCTTAGCTCACAGAAAATGTCTTCTTCCCTCCTTCCACTCTAGTGCCAAGAACCTCCCCAGTCCGTCTCCGACAGCCAAACTTACTGCCAGACTTCTCTGTACCTTCATTGCGGGGAAAGCAGCGGAGAGGAAAAAGGGGCGGGCGAGAGACCTGTGTTGTTTACAAGGAACGAGAGTGTCGGAATCGGCCCGCGGGGGCGGAGCCGAGGAAGCCGGCACTTCTTCCTTCCCTCTCCTTTCTCCCCTCCTTCCCCAGCCTTCCCCGCGAGCGGACGCGCCAGCGCCTCCGCCTCGCTTTTTCTTATTTTCTCCCCCTTCTCCCTTTCCTTTTTTTTCCTTTTCCCCCTTCCCCCTCTTCACCATTTCCCGTCGGAGGCGCTTCCCCCGGGCAGGGGCAGAGCCGGTGTCACCGCCCGCCTCTCCCCTCCCCCCGCCGCCCTATGGCGAGAGGGAGCCCCCTCCCCACCCGGGCACTAGCGGCGGCGGCCGGAGGAGCGGGGCCCGCGGAAGCGGCGGCGGCGGCGGCGGCCTCAGGCCCGGGGGCATCATGGAACTGACTCGCTGACCGACCCTCCGGCCGCAGCCGTGAGTCCCGCCCGATCGCCCGCGCCCGCCGGCCCGGTTCCTCTCTTCTCTCTCCTCAGTCGGCCCAGTCCTCGTCCCGCGCGTCCCGCCGCCGCGCGCTGAGAAAAATGTGGTGGTGACGGGCCCCCGGATGACCCCGAGTCACCGCTGTGAGGCCTACAGCTCTGCCGGGGAGGAGGAGGAGGAGGAGGAGGAAGAGGAAGAGGAGGAGAAGGTGAGGGGCGGGGGTCCTCACGCGCCTCCGGGACCCGCGCGCGGCGCGCGGCCCGGATGAAAGAGCCGGGACCGCGCGCCCCTCGCTGAGGCTCCCCTCTCCCCAGCCCGTCTCCCCGCTTCCCGAGGAAGCCTTCGGGGCCGCCCCTCCCCTACCCTCTTCAAGCTGGAGAAGCTCGGCACCTGCCCAGTTGGTCAACGGCTCTGCTGTGTTCCTTTCGGGCCAATTTCTCTCTCAGTAACTTTTTGTAGCGACAGCAAATTGCCTGCTCTGTAGGGCCTGCCTGTTCTATGCTCCCGAGCCCGTATAATGATACACAAAGAGGACACACCCCCACCCTTAGACTACCTCGCTTCGGCAGTAGCGGAAGGAAGATAATTTACGTTGCAAAGCGGAGTGAATGCCAAGTGAATGGAGCTGGATCACCAGTGCTGTGGGAACTTGGGGGAACGTTTCGTTCCCCCGAGTTTGGGTGGGTGAGGGAAATTGGAGATGTGAGAAGGAGATGTGGAAAGGTAGATAAAAACACCGAAAATTTGGAAATTACGGCAGAAGGTCCATTGCTGAGCTAAAGGTTCCATTGCTGATCATTTTGGCAGTGGTTGACAACTGGTTAGCAAAATTGTGGAAAGTATCTTTTGGGAGGAAGAATGAAATCAGACTTAACATCTTAGTCGACCACAAGTATTTAGCTTTTATTCGGTCAGTGGGGAGGCATTCAGCATTTGAACAGCAAAATGTGACGTTATGATGTTAACACTAGTTGAGTCTTATTCTCTGACAGGCATTATTCTAAGTGGTTGGCAATTAATTGGACTCATTGGGGCAGGTAATTCAGGAGTCTCATTTTACAGATGAGGAAAACAGCGTCCACGAGAGTAAGCAATTTTCCCTTTAGATGACACAGCTAAGAACCCTGTGGCCAGAATTCAAACCTGAAACAGTCTGACTATGCTATATAGTCTCTTTCCTGAAAATGAATTTGTTGAAAAGATTGTTCCAGTTCACTGTGGTAGACGAAATAGAAGGGAATGGACAAATAGATTAAGAAAGAATGGACAGGGTTTAGATTAGCTAATGTGGGACCAGCAGGATGAGAGAGTCTGCATTTCTGGACTAGGAAAAGTTTGTTACTGAAGAGTAGAATCAGTGTGTGTTGCAAAGGTATAGTAGTGAAGATTTGCTGTTACAGATAATTTAGTTTATGTGGCAGTGTGACATCCTAATAAGTTAGAATGGAAGCCTAAAATTTAGTTTATTGGTCAGGATTGGAAACTGTGTGAACATGTTTTATTCTAATTGAATAATATTTTGAAAAGTAATCATTTTTCTGTGCATGCTTCATCCTTAAAGTGGATTTAATACCAGTTTCATAAGGTTGTATGAGCATTAAATGAGTGAATATGGTATAGTGCTTTTAACAATAATCTGGCCAAGTAAAACTGTTATTTATTAGACAAAGTGCTTAACTCTGTAAACTTAAGGTTAGTAGCAGAGATCGGTCTACAGGTAATTGTGGAATAATTAATGTAAAAGTAGAATTATAGCCAAGTACAGATGTAGGAAGGCAGACTACTACTTCTTAAAAGACTGCTGATGATAGTTCTGTAGGAAGGAGAGTGGATCTAAAACACATTTCAAGTTGAAAAAACTATGGAAAGGCGTGAAGATTGGGAAAGAGCAGGCTGTTTTGGAATTAGAAGTACCTGTAGTTCATTATTAGGTTAGGAACATAAGATCCAGGAGGTAAAAGTAGACAGTGAGGTTCTTGCATGAACCCATTAGTAAGTCCCTCTTTAGAAGAGGAACTAAGATCCAGAAGTCGGCATCAGTACAGAATTATTAATATAGTTCGTGTTAGGATGGTGTAAGACCGGGAAAAGGAAATCCCGGGGCAAAATACCCCTAAAAAATGAAGTCAGTCAAAGGGAGAAATAAAGTTTAAAACTAGTTTATTTCTCACAAACTGCAGTCCCAGTCCATCTTCTCTGTTCCAGCAGCAACCACACCGGCCTTCTCCCTCACCTTTCAGATGCAGATAAGCCCTCTGTTGCCCAGGTAATCACCCATTGATATGGAGATGAACTTCTCCACCCCTGAGGAAAGATGCAAATGAACTAAAGCCATACTTCTTTTCACCTCTGAACGCGTATTGATATGCAGATACACCAAAACCAGGCGAGATATTCTGGAAATGTTACAATTTTACCCACAGATGGTGATAATTACAAGTCCATATTAAGTTGTTTCTTGTTGTTTACCTACCTAGTACAGTGCAGCACTTTTCCTCAGAAAAACAGGGAACTGCGTTGTTAACACAGTTTATGCTGTACAGTAAGCATTTTGTAAACTGTTCACTTGGACATTAACCTATTTGATAGACATGGAGAAGGAAGCAGAAAGGGAGGAGAAATGTGAAACTATCATAAAGTTACAAGAATGTGGAATATGCCAAACAAAATGCAGTCTTTTTAAAATTTTTTATTTCCTAGAGACTTATATCCAAGCATTCAGAATTCTGGATGTGACCAACAATGCATATAACATAAAATATTTTATATACTATAATATTTAAAACAGTAAAATTACGTTTTAAGCATTTATTTAAAATTCCTTAGCAGGATTCATTATCTCAGCCTGTTTTACACATTGGAAAATAGGCTTGTGCACTATCAGTAAAAGAAGTAAAACTCAAGTCAGTGCTTTCTCCACTGTATCATATTGTCTGTCTACTAAAGTCTTAAAAAAGGAATGTAAAAAATACCTTGGTAACATAAACATTTCCATAAATTATGTCTTTCTTTGCTTCTCTGCATTTTTTTTTTTTTGGTATCATTAGTATACAATTACATGAGCAACATTATAGTTACTAGACTCCCCCACTCTCATACGCCATTACAGTCACTGTCCATCAGCATAGTAAGATGCTATAGAATCACTACTTGTCTTCTCTGTGTTATACTGCCTTCCCCGTGCCCTTCCCACCCATCCTCCCCAGTCCCTTTACCCTTTGGTAACTGTTAGTCCATTCTTGTGTTCTGTGAGTCTGCTGCTGTTTTGTTCCTTCAGTTTTTCCTTTGTTCTTATACTCCATCATTTGATACTTGTCTTTCTCTACCTGGCTTACTTCACTGAGCATAATACCCTCTAGCTCCATCCATGTTGTTGCAAATGGTAGGATTTGTTTTTCTTCTTATGGCTGAATAATATTCCATTGTGTCTATGTACTATATCTTCTTTTTCCATTCATCTACTGATGGACGCTTAGGTTGCTTCCATTTCTTGGCTATTGTAAATAGTGCTGCGATAAACATAGGGGTGCATCTGTCTTTTTGAAAGTGGGCTCCTGCATTCTTAGGGTATATTCCTAGGAGTGGAATTCCTGGGTCAAATGGTATTTCTATTTTTAGTTTTTTGAGGATGCTCCATACTGCTTTCCACAATGGTTGAACTAAATTACATTCCCACCAGCAGTGTAGGAGGGTTCCCCTTTCTCCACATCCTCGCCAACATTTGTTGTTTGTCTTTTGGATGATGGCCATCCTAACTGGTGTGAGGTGATAATCTCATTGTGGTTTTAATTTGCATTTCTCTGATGAAATGCGATGTGGAGCATCTTTACATGTGCCTTTTGGCCATCTGAATTTCTTTGGAGAGGTGTCTGTTCAGATCCTCTGCCCATTTTTTAATTGGATTTTTTGCTTTTTGTTTGTTGAGGTGCATGAGCTCTTTATATATTTTCGATGTCAACTCCTTGATATGTCATTTTGAATATATTCTCCCATACTGTAGGATGCCTTTTTGTTCTACTGATGGTGTCCTTTGCTGTACAGAAGCTTTTTAGTTTGATATAGTCCCACTTGTTCATTTTTGCTTTTGTTTCCCTTGCCCAGGGAGATATGTTCATGAAGAATTTGCTCATGTTTACGTCCAAGAGAGTTTTGCCTATGTTTTCTTCTAAGAGTTTTATGGTTTCATGACTTAAATTCAGGTCTTTGATCCATTTTGAGTTTACTTTTGGATATGGAGTTCGGCAGTAATCCATTTTCATTCTCTTGTTTCTCTGCATTTTTATTCGTACTTTTAAATAATTTCGAAAAGAAATCCTTTACCCAGATTTACCTAGTGTTAACATTTTACCTCATTTGTTTTATCATTTTCCTCCTATTTCTCTCTCCATATATGTATGTTGCATACATATGGGCCTTTACTTCTAAATTTTTTAGTGTGTATTCCCTAAGAATAGGGATATTCTCTTACAGAGTCATAGTAAAGTTAACAATTTAAGTAGATTTAACATTGATTCATTACTTTTATCCTCCTATCTTGTATGTCTGTGTTCCCGTTATGACAATTGACCAAATAATGACCTTTATAGTGTTTAACCTCTTTCTAGTGTAGGATCCGTTTAGGATCAGATATTGCACTTTGATTTTTCTGTACTCTCACTTAATCTGGAACATCCCCAGAGGTGTTCTCCACACTTTCTGTCTTTCCACTTTTGTTAATTACATACGATTTTTGAAATTTCAAGGAAACTTGAACTTTTTCTTTCATTACATTTCCATAGTCTGAGCAGAGTGGTTCCTTTGTTTTCTATTCATATGGTGAATTACACTGCTGAGTATTAAACCAACTTTGCATTCCTGGCCTAAATCCTACTTGCCTGTGGTATCTAGTCCTTTTCTTAGGATGCCAGATTCAGTCTGCTGGTACTTTGTCGAGGAATTTTGCATGGAGATTTAGAAGCGATAACTATTCTATAGTTTTATTTTTTAGTGTTATTGTCTGGTTTTGGTAGCAGAGCAATACCTGGTCTCATTAAATGAGAAGTGCTCTTCTTTTTTCCTTTTTGGAAGACATTGTGAAGAATTTGTATTTTTCTGTAAATTTTGGTAGAATTTACAAGTGAAGCCATTTGAGCATTGACTTAACAGAAAAACTTAAGTCACAAAACAAGAATTAAGTTAGTAAACAAACCAACTTTTGTCAAAGAAAACCCTGTTTTGATAATTGTGGGTCTTTGTCTTATTTTGTCTAAATTGTCCAATTTATTTACTTAGAATTGTTCAGAGAATTCCTATATAAATCCTTTTTATTTCTGTAATGTAGGTAGTAATGACCCCTCCATATTCCTGATTTTAGTACTTCATTCTGATTTTTCTTGGCCAGTGTAGCTAAAGGTCTGCCAATTTTGATCTTTTCAAAGAACTCTTGGTTTCATCAATTTTTCTCTTTTTCTATTTTCTACTTACTAATTTCCACTCTAATATTTCTTATATTCGTTCCTTTGGCTTGCTGTAGGTACAGTTTGCTCTGCTTTTTTCTGGTGTCTTAAGATAGAAGGTATTGATTTGAAGTCTCTCTTAATATGGGCATTTAAGGTATTAATTTTTCTCTAAGCACTATTGTCATTGCATCCTAAAAGTTTTGGTGCATTAGGTCTTCTCTTTCATTCACTTCAAAGTGGAATTCTAATTTCCCTTGTGATTTCTTCTTTGACCCAGATTACTTTGGTTTTAAAAAGTTAAGGCAAACATTTAAAAGGGCCTTAATTGTAGGAGACTGGAGAATGGGAATCTCATTGAACCTGATCTTACTGTTCTTTACATGATTTTATCCTATAATCCCTCTCTATTCCCCATCCATTCTCCCTAAAAGTAATCTTCAAAGAAAGCATTGTAAGGTAAAAGTAATCACTAGGGGCAGTCAGCCTTGGGGCTGTGATGGTAGGCCCTGGTGACCCACCCAGTCGGGTATAGCTAATGGGTTGAAATAATTAGTTAAGTAAGTCTGAAGTTTTGACAAGAGTTAATAAATTGCAGACTAAATTAGCTTTAAAAGAAACCTTAGAAGCTATAAAGTTCAATCTTCAGTGTGGTGTTTCTTTTAGATAATCTCTTGACAAGTGATTAGTTTATAGTCCACATCTAAGGTTAGTATTTATGTTTGCTTTAGATGAAATTACAGTCTCTTCATCTAATTTTGGAGAATCTAAGGAAAGTACTAAGACAACAAAATTGGAATCTTGGAACATCTCCACAGAATATAACCGTAGATGGGGTCTGGCAGGGACTTTTTTTAAAAAGAAAGACCACATTTAAGGCCCTGAACAAGGATGTACAACCCTCCTTTCTCTCACCTCCCCCAAAAGGCACCAAAACCCCACACAATGGGGTTGGGCAGGCAGAGGGAAGTTTGCCTAAGTGTTCCTTAGGAAGTGTTAAGAGTTTAGTTGACTGTGAGTTCTAAATTGATATTGTGGTGTGGCCTCCAAAAATAGCTAATGATCTTAGACTGCATTAATAAATTGGTGCTAGTTTAGAAGATCAGAAATCAAGGGTGAAGAACCCTTGAACAGTTTTTTAGCTGTGGAGAAGATGAATTGGTAAGCCTTTAAACATTTGAAGGATTGGTTTGTGAAAGATTAGACTTGGGTTTGTTGTTTTTGGTTGATGGTTTTTGTTGTTGGACCCAAGGGTTGCAGTGACCATTTGGTTGAGTCCCTATCTCATCAGGATACTGTGGTGTGGGCACTACGAGTGATATGAAGATATTGGTAGTTGTGATTATAAAGGAATTTATAATTTGTTTTTAGAAGGGAGAAAAGTCACACCAAATTACAGAATAGAGTTCTTGGAAGAAATTTACCTTTGAAATGGGCCTTTCAGGGTAGATGTTATTACTTCATCCTAAGTTACTTATATTTTTTCTTCTTGGTGAAAAGTACTTAGTGCTTACTATAGAAAATTTGCAAAAATTCAGAAGTTTGAAGAAGCAAAAAGGAAAAAAGTCACAGTCTAGTTAACCAGAGGTAGCTTGCAGTAGGTTGAGAAGCAAGTAGGTAAAATATGTAGAGTGATTAATAAGAGGATAGCACCAGGAGTTAAGGGGAAATGTGGAAATTGAAGAAGAGGTTTGTTATTTTTTGTTTTTTTAGAATTAATTTTAAATCCTATCAAATTTTGGAACTTTTCATATGTTGATTTAAGACATTTAAATTAAAAAATCCTATGAAGCTGAAGCACATACATAGTACAGGTACGTAGTTGAAAAAGTGAAATAGTTTTACAAAGTTTATAATGAAAACAGCATTCCCCTATTGCAGAGCTTCCTCCCCAGAGTTTAACCACTATCAGCTCTTACCTGTCCCTCTTGTTTGAGATTATATTTTTAATCTGTGGTTTTTTGATATTTCAGTTTAGATATTGCTTATGGTTTTCCTACTAGGAAATGTAATTCTACCCTCTCCCAACACCCCTCATCTTCCCAACATAGTTTTACTACAGTGTTTGTTGGAATACTCGCTCAGTATTTTCATCATTATTGCTATGTAAATATTGTGGTATATTATTACATTTACCTTGCATAATCTTTTTTTATGAATTAACTTTTCATTTGCTTAGCTTTCATCAAATCTACTGTTCTTTTCACATTCTTCAGCAATCCAATTTTCTACACGCAGTCATACCTCTCAAATGTAATAGTTTTTTTTTTAATGTAGAGACATCTCTCTTCTCAGTTGCTTTGCACTGATCTAGAGTTTTACTCTTTAGACTTGTTGCTCATTTTAGAGTACCAGTCACATTACTGTTGAACTTTCTAGATGAACACTGTCCAGTAGAATTATCTGCATTAATAGAAGTGTTCCTCTACTGCACTGTCCAATGTAGTATCCACTAGGCAAATGTGGCTATTGAGCACTTGAAATGGGGCTAGTGTGACTGCTAATTCCAATTTAAATAGCCACATGTGTAGCTGGTGGACACCATATTGGAAGGCAGTTCACGATGGTTTCATACTGATTAAGAGGGGATGGGTGGGATTTAAAATAATGGATGTAACTTTTTTTAATAAAGAAGAAGGTTAGTAGCCCTGAGCTGATAAGATTTTTAAGAGGAATATTTGGGACTGCTATTTATAAGCATTCCTAGTTAAAAGAAAAGCCTGTGACTTAAATTTTTTGGACACAATTCGACATAGTAATGTTTTGATCAGAGTACAAATATTCTGTCAATTATATGGGCATGTTTTTATTCTGTTTATAACTGAGCTTCATATTTAAGGTGAGAATATTGTAGATAATTGATTATTATAACATTTTGCTACATGATATTTTAAAGAGCTATAAAATCCTGTACTGACTCATAACATCATTATTTTGTATTATGAATTACATAATAAGAACCAACATATTTACACAATGCTACTTATTCTATAATTAAATTAAGAGCATTGTCTTATATTTTATTTTATAGGTAGCTACATCAAGCTGGGAGGCAGGCAGATCCAAAGGATATCATGAAGTTTCCAGGGCCTTTGGAAAACCAGAGGTTGTCTTTTCTATTGGAAAAGGCAATCTCTAGGGAAGCTCAGATGTGGAAGGTGAATGTGCCGAAAATGCCTACAAATCAGGTAATGATTTCTCTCTTCTCTATAGATGGATGACTTCTATTAGAAGTAAGTATACAGTAGAATCATCAGGGAAATGTAAATCAAAACTGCATGAGATATCGTCTCACACCAGTCAGAATGGCCACCATCCAAACGACAAGAAATATCAAGTGTTGGCAAAGATGTGGAGACAGGGGAACCCTCCTACACTGTTGGTGGGAAGGTAAATTGGTTCATCCACTTCGGAAGTCAGTAGAGGTTCCTCAAAAAGCAAAAAAGAAATACCATATGATTCAGCAGCTCCACTTCTGGGAAGTTATCTGAAGAAAACAAAATCACTAAATTAAAAAAGATATATGCAGCCCTGTGTTTATTGCCGCATTCTTTACAGTAGCCAAGATATGGAAGCAACCACAGTGCCTATCAAACGAGTGGATAAAAAAGATGTAGTACATATATACAGTGGAATATACTTAAATAAGAAAAAAAATTGAACCTGAGGCAGTTCTCTTCCCATTCTGCTTTATTTTTCACCTTTGATTTTTGTGTTCTTGTGTGATATTTAGGTTACTTGGGGATTCATTCATTAAGTAAATGTCTATTAAGTATCTGCTCATTCTGAGCACTGTTCTAGGCATTGGGAATACAACAGTGGGTAAAACAGAATTCCTGCCCTTATGTTATGGCACTCTGGAAAGCCGCCAAGCTTTATTGCAGCTGCCTTTGAAAAACCATTCCTTTCTTCTGCCATCTTCTTAAATCAGCATAAACCATAATAATAATATACTTTTACAACATGATCTTGGAGGGTAATATTCTACCAAGATGGTAGAAGATTGCTATGTTATTTAATATGGCCTGTTTCTCTAGATAATTTAACAAATGTGATGCCAGAGAACCAAATAGTGTCAGAACTTCTAGGAGGGATTTACTTAAGTATTTATTTGCCTTTAGTAACGCCAAGTAGTCTTCTAAGATGTGGGTGGTCTTGGTCTAGTAGAGATAGGAAATAAGATAGGGACCGGAGTAAACACCTGTGGGGACTTGAGCCACTTGGCTGGAGTAACCCTTAAGGACACTTACCTATTCTAGTTCTAATTCCTTTATTTTCTGCCACTCTGAGAGACTGGCTTTTCTACTTTGCTTTCCACCATTACTTCTAACCACAATTTGCCTCCTTGATTCCTGGTAGAAGAGAAACACAGCTTGGTCATTCAACCATACGTATGTCTTTTCTAACTTAAAAAAAATTTGTTAAGTGTTGGTCATAATGGAGAAATGTATATATTCAAACTTCCTTTTTATTTATGCTGCTTTCCTCCAGTTTACTTCTCTCTTCCTCTTTTTCCACCTAAATTCTACTTCAAGGTCATTTTCTTAAAATTCTTTTAAATTGAATCCTCTCTCTCCCAGTTTTCAAGATGCAGTGGTCACAAGAATATTGTATACTTACCACTCCCCCTTTGTGTGCTCCTACAGCACTCTGTACTTACCTTATGATAGCACACAATATTATTTCCTGGTAATTTGACTGCATTCCCTTTGGGTAGGATTGTGTCATTTTTGTTTACTAGCACATAACAGGCTTGTTTATAACACATTCATTTGTAATTCGTTAAGATTAGAGAAGTTATTTTATATAATAATAGAACTTTCAAGTACATGACAGTTTTATAAGAATTTGGGAGGGCAAAAATTAAAGACTGGTCAAAAGTGACATGCACTTTCAGGTACTGTCAGTTTATTTTGCTAAAGTACTTTTGATATACCAAGATAAAGCTATTTATATAAAGATGGTTTTCATTAGAATTTTGAAACTGTAAGGGATCTTAAAGGTCATTAATTATGTGATTTCCAAACACAGGATCTCAGAATATATGGAATCATAGAGTATGTACTGACCTCCTTTTCCTTTGCTCAGTACTTTTTTTTGGTCAGATTCATCCATGTCACTTAATGTAGCCAAAATTTATTCTGTCATGTATTATTCCATCATATGAATTTATGTGTTCTGTTGATGGTCATTAGAGTCATTTTCTTGTGCATGTCTCTTGGTGAATATATATGTACATTTCTGTTGAGTATATTCCTAAGGGTGGAATTGCTAGAACCTAGACTATGTGTATTCTCAGCTTTAGTGGATGCCACCAATTGTATTTCCAAAACATACCATCTATTTTTTATTTTTTATTTTTTCAAAATATCAGCTTCATTGTGAGCTCCTTGATACCAGGGACATTGTCTCTATTTTCCTCCATAATATTTCAAGGGTACAGTTCTGCCATTTTTACTGGAAAAAAATTATATTTGCTCTTATGATAACAGCATTTTCTATTTTCCTTGGACCTTGTTTTTTTAAAACCCTTCCAGCAGAGTATGAAAGTCTCAAGTTTCACTACATCCTTGGTATTGTCTTTTTCATTTTAGTTTTACTGGTGAGTGTGTTACAGTATCATACTAGATTTTAATTTGCATTTCCTTGATAACTAATGGAGATCAGAAGTATTTCATGTGTTCATTGGCAATTAGATATCCTTTTTTAATGAAATGTCTGTTCAAATCTTTGACCTGGGTTTCTATTGAGCTGTCTTTTTTTTTTGTTACTTGTTTTATAGGTCATCTTTTGCAGGCCCTTTTAAACAGATATCTTCAACTCTGTTGACCTTCTGACAAATAGAAGTTCTTAATTTTTAATGAAGTTTATCAAACTTTTTTCTTTTTGCTTAATCGTGTTAAAGAAATGTTTGTCTAGTCCAAGGTAATAAAGCTACTGTCTTGCATTTTTTCTGGAAACTTTTTTTTTTGTCTTTCACATTTAGATCTACATTCCAGTTGGAATTTTGATTTTTTGTTTAGTATGATGTGAAGTACGAGTGAAGAATCACTTTTCTCCATATCGATACCCAGCACCATTTATTAAAAAGACTTTTCCCCCACATTGTCTTGCAGTGTGCTTTTGTTATAAATCAAGTGACTACTGTGTATGTGTAGATAGATTTGTGGGTCTGTTGCTTCTCTCTGTTCTCATCATTGGTCTGTTTGCCTCTCTTTTAATGCAAATACTGCCTTATAGCAGTATAGTCTTTGATGGCATAAAATTTGTTCTTTTTCTTTTTTTCAACAGTGTCTTGACTTTTAGACCTTTTGTCTTCCATATATATTTTAAAGTATACTTGTCAATTTTTTAAAAAATACAAAAGAAATTATAAGGGCTTGGTTATATTGAATTTATAGGTTGACTATTATAAGTCTTGCAATCTGTAAATTTAGGCTTTTCATTTTCTTTAAAGGTGGTTTGTTTCTTTTAATAATGTTTGGTAGTTTAGGCTTATTCTTGGGTATTTGAATTTTGTTGAAGCTACTACAAATACTACTGTTTTAAAGTTCTCACTTTTTGTGTTTTTGTTTCTGTATGCTGATAAATAGAAATGAAAAAAGATTTTTTATATATTGACCATACTAAATTAGCTTATTAATAGTTTGCAGTCTTTTTTTGGGTTTTCTGTATATTATACATAGTTATGTAACAGTGAATAGTCATGGTTTTATTTCTTCCTTTCCATTTGTAATGCTTTTTATTTATTTTCTTGCTTTACAGAATTAGCTAGGGCCTCCAGGGCACTTTTGGATGTAAATGATGGTAGCAGGCAGGCACCCTTGTCTCAGTCTCAGTCTCAATTTGAGGGGTAATATTCAGTATTTCACCATTAAGTATAATATTTGCTATATATTTATTTAGACAGTCTGTCAGATTAAGAAATGCTTTTCTCTGCCTTAGTTTACTAAGAAATTTTTCATAAATGTTGCATTTCTATACATCACTGGATTTTCTTAACATTTTGCTTAGGATTTTTGCATCTGTTTTCATGGGTGAGATTGGTTTATAATGCTTTTGTCAGGTTTTCATGATAAAGTTATGCTGGCTTTGGAAAATTAATTGGGGAGTGTTCCTGCTTTATTTTCATTGTTTAGATTGGTATTTTTTTTCTTAAATGTTGGAAGGTTTCACTCGGGAACCACTGGGACGTAGAGATTTATTTGTGGGAAAGTAATCATTAATTCAGCTTTTTGGTAAATGTGAGACTAATCAAGTTTTCATTTAAATCTTCAATTTGGTAAAGTGTGTTTTTTCAAAGAATTTACTCATTTCATCTAAATTGTCAAGTTCTTATATAAAGTTAATCATAATATCTTTTTAACATGTAAAGAAAAGGGTCTGTAGTGTTTCCCCTTTTCAATCTTGGTGTTTTGTGTGATTACCTTTGTTGTGATTTTTTGGCAGTTTCCCTCAAAGCAGAGCTGTCTCCCATTTGTTGTTAGATCCACACTTTGGGTTCTAAATTTTAGTTACATTTTTCAGTTTAGAATTTCTCTTTGAATTTGTTTTATAGGTTTCATTTCTTTAGTGAAATTCTTCATTTTGTCACCTATTTTCTCCATTCCCTCTCTTGTATTAATATAATTTCTTATATTAATATCGGTCCTTTTCTGATAACCCCCAACTTTAGATCTTTTTGTTGCCTTCCCTCCCCTCTGTTTTTCTCTTGGTTTTTAGTCACTTGGTTCTTGTCATCCCTGATAAATTTTGATTGGATTGGCTGAGCATTATAAAAAATTGTAGAGGCTCTATCTAGCAGGAGGGTTCAGTCCTCCCTCTGGTGGGCAAATTGAGCAGCAGATTAATCACTTTAATCCAGTGAGAAACTGTGTTGATGGGAGGCAGGGTTGCAGTTGGGTATGGTTTCACCCGCCTCTGGTTTGCTGCATCTCCTCTAGTGTAACCAGATTCCAGCTGACAGCTTTGGGTGTTCACCAGGGCCCTTTATTCCTGAAGGGTGCCGAATTCTCCCCTGAACTCATTCTTCCTTTTCAGAGGCATTTGCTTATTAATTAGCTTCTTAGATGCCTGACCTTCCCAACTTCAGATTTCATCCAGAAAATTGTATTAAGGGGAAATCAGCTGAGTATCACATTCAGATCTCTGACCCTCCTCCTCCCCCACTAGGTTTTTGGCTCCTTAAGGCTCTCAAAATATGTGGGTTTCTTTGCTTATGCTCTCAGCCTCTTACCATACTAACAGGATGCCTGTACCTCCTTTCTAGAATCTTGGCTCCTAAAGGCTTGGTTGTCCTAGCAGTTCTGCTGCCTTTAAAACAGGTTTTTGTTGTTAGTACTTTTTCTAGTTGTTCTCAGCTGGGGTATAGGTTACTGCTACCAAAAGCAGAAATGTAATTTTTAAAAAAAGTTGAATTTCACAGGTGTGATGAGATGCTGTGGTAGGAGCACAGGAAGATACTTAGCCCAACCTAAGGTGTCAGGAAAGTGTTTGATGGGGAGTAAATACTGAAATAGCTCTTGAAGGATAAATAATAAGGGAGGTAAAAGAGAGAGGGGAGTGTGTTCCAACCAGTGGAACAAGTATGAGCGAAGGAGCAGTGATGTACAATAATAGCATGGCATGAGCAAAGCCATAAATACAAATACTATTCTTACAGTTTGAATTTTAAAGCAGAAGGTGATGGAAAGTGAGTGAGGCTAAAGAGGTAGGCTATAGAGGGATTTGTATACCATGCCTGGATAATTGTACTTAATCTTTTAGGTAACAGCTAACCTTTCAGAGTTTAAAGCTGGTGGGAGTGGGAGGATTTGTGTTTTAATCAGAATAGCAACATGTGGAATGTAAAGCCCTGTGTTTTACCATGTATTCTCTTTGGGATTAGTTCAATCAATTTATTAAACCCTCTTAACCCTATTTGAGTAACCCACATAAGAGAAAACCTGTCCCTTGATGAGTAAATACTGTGTGGAGTTGGTGGCTGGTGGGTAAGTAGGCTTCCTTCCTTCCTCCCTCCCTCCCTTCCTTCTGAATGGGATTACTTAGGCACAGAATTTAATTTTGGTAAAGCTATCTTGATAATGTTACTCTTTAGTACACATTTAAATTGATTTGAAAAAGTGATCTTAAAATCAGTATCACTTCACTAAAAGTGAGTCTTCTCTGAATACCATCTTTTGTGATGTGTTGTATTGGCTTTTAATTTTTTTGTGTGTATGTTGTTAGTTTTGGCTAGTGATAATACTAGCCATGCAGGAATGCATTCTTGGCCCTATTCTCAAATTTTAATATAAGTCATATTAAAGTCCAAAGATATTGTCATGATCTCTTTTATAACTAACTGGATTATAATTGGTTTAAAAGAATTACTTATATGTTATATTTTGTAAATTTATTTTTTCTGGGATTAGAGATCAGGTATTGTTGGAAGTGGGAAAAGACAAAACTAATATTCGAGTGCCTTTTGCATTCTGTGTTTGTGCTTTACAGAAGTTACATCATTTAGTGGTATCTATAATATGGAAGTCTCTATGTCTGTTTCCCTGTCTGAAACACCCTTAAGGCACATGTATCATGTCCATCTTTTGTGGTACTTTTTACAATTACATGTTTGTGTTATTTCTTTAACACAATGTCAAAAACCATATAGTCAGATTATGTAATATAATTTGTCACTTAGGGATTTTTTTCTCCTGTATCCCCATTGTATCTCTGACCTGAAGGTGAAATTAATGGTGTTCTTGTCATTGATACTCTAATTATTGTTCACCTCCCTAAAAGCCTGCCCAGTTTCTCCAGATTATATTATCATCTACCTCTCCTTGTGTGAATTTATTTCCTTGTCATTAATTTGTTTGGATGGCTTACTTAAAATTACTTTTCTTTATCACTTTAGGTAAAATTTCATCTTGGTAGGGATGTAATTTTTCTTGAATGCTTATTAACTCCCTCTATCTAGAAGTTTTGTGACTGCCTTCACTTGGTTCCCAGGGACCTTCAGGGGGCCCCTAGTTCAGAACTAGACCTTAAATTAGCACCACAGGACTCTATGGGAAATGGTATATTGTAGAGTCAGTGACCATGCTAACTGCTGGCTTGACCCAGGGCTTAGTTGTAAGGCTGTGTCTGCTTCCTCTCACCTATGTGGAGAAGCCATAGCTCCAGACAGTAGTGTTCTGCTGCCTTTTTCAAACTGTCTTTGTGAGAAGCAGAATCTGACCTCTTGTTTTAACAGCTTAACTCCAGTTTCCTCTGTCATGTTGGACAGTAGTCTTTGCAGAACATGAATTCCCGTGCTACTGTATGCACCCAGAATCTATCAAGCCTACAGTTTCAGTCCCATGAACTAACTGCCTTCTGTTTTGTTTTGTTTTTTCCTTTTGCCCTGTGTTTCTTTTTGATTCAGGGAATCCTATCACTGATTCTTGGAGTATTTGTTTTGAGAGTCTTTTCCACCCACCTTGATTTTATTTGCAAGTTGAAAGAGCTTAACAATAGGTTATTGCCTTCAGGTTGACATCATTCCTATCCTTCAGAGTAAAATTCACAGGCTTAAAAATGTGGCTCTTTCCCTTGCCTTGCAAATGATCACTGTCTTTGCTCACTTTTTAGTTTTAAGATAAAAATAATTTGCTGTCTCCTCCAAGAAGCTTTCATTCTACTCCCACACCGGCCCAGGTACCCTTCCAGTGTGCTCGCCTAGCACCCTGTTTTAGGCTTATCATAATTTACTAACTTTTTCTGATTGTTGTTTCACTGTGAAACTGAATTAAATGTCTTGATTATCATATTCTTTCAAATTATTGTTCATAGTCTTTAACGCCAGCTTGGTGGTGAGATGTTAAAGTAAGAGGTCATAAACCATCTTTATTTCATTTTCTTGTCAGTATTTCTTGTGCAGTATTCTAGGGTCAGTCAATATTTGACAGAAGGAATTGACTGGGAGGTGTATATATATATATATGGCAGTTAACCTTCTAAAATACCAGTTACAACTGAGATTTAGAGCTATATGTTGAAATTATGTAAGTGTAATTAATTGGTTTGGTCAACACTGAGAAACTCTTTGTTGTACTAAAGCTGAAAAGTGACAGGAGGTTCAAAAAAAATAAGAGAAATTAGTCAGTGCAGTGGCAGAGAGAGGGGACTCACAACACTAAAGAAAAGTCATCTATTCCTCACAACACTAAAGAAAACCAAGAGGAAGGAAAGAAGAAATTCCAATGGAAAATACCTGTTTGAAGAGATAAATTGTCAAAATATACAGCCAGCCCTTCATTCTTTAATAGTTCTTAATGCATCTCTCTGTGATAGAGTAATTTCATAAAGTTGAGTGATCAAGAAAACAGTTGAAGCTATGATCTCTATACTTGCGAAGGAATGAAATATGTTTTTAAAGACATTTCCAACAAAAATGGTTATGATGTTAAAGACTCCAGTGCTTGAATTAAACCTTAATTTGTCTGGAACCCTTACTGAAAATACTCTTTTTTTTATTAGTCACAGAGTTTATTTCTGTACCTTGTTGTGTTTACCTGGCAGAAGTGTTCATATGGATCTGCTGCTTGGTTTATTATGAGTAAATAAAGTATTCCTAGGTTTTCTTTTTAAAGTGTGTACCTTCTAAAAATTAAGCCTATGCTCAATAGTTCAAAATAATATGTAGAAGATTAAAACAACATTTTGTGTCTGTGTAATATCTCCAGTGGTCAATTAGTTCAGGTGAATTTCCCCTTTAGTGTTCTTTCATTATCCTCAAATGTGTAATTTGTTGTTCCTGTGTCTTTGATTTATTCCTGTTTAGTTTTATTTTTAATGGGCTATCCTTCTATTATAATCCATTTATATTTCCTAAAGTGCTTTAATGGATATTTGCTGCCTTAAAAATAAATTCACTATTTTCTTATTGTCATTTGAATTGGGAAAACTTAATTCCAAAATTCCTATCAGTTTATAATAGTGTTACCTAAACTTTATTATATTTCCTGAATTTAATTACATAGATATATGGTGAGACGGCCCAGTGAAGATTCTATCTAATAAATAGTAAGAGAATATTGGATATTGATATTAAATGCTACAACCAGTGTATAGTTTTATCTTCATTTATCTCATTTGTTAGATTTTGAATAAACTTAATACATTTTTAAACATGCAAACATGTAGTCCAAAGCATCTGCTAACCTTTTAAAAGAGAGTTCTAAGTATATTCTTGATGCTAACTTGAAACCTGTTCTTTTATTTTTCAATCGTTCCCTTATAGAATGTTTCTCCATCGCAGAGAGATGAAGTGATTCAGTGGCTGGCTAAACTCAAGTACCAATTCAACCTTTACCCAGAAACACTTGCTCTGGCTAGCAGTCTTTTGGACAGGTTTTTAGCTACTGTAAAGGTAAATACTTGAGGATGCACTTTTAAACACCACCTCTTATTTGAGGGCTTATGTGCTAAACCAGGGGTTAGAATGGAAAACCTTCCTGGACATATATGTACCTGTAAGAAGACATGACGTGTCTTATGCGATTGCTTTAAATTTTCAGAAATGTTTCTAATTGTATTCTGGAGTTCTATTTTTGTTACAAGTATCCATAACTTAACCTATGAAATTTTTGATCTGTGATTTTAACATAAACTGTGTTGCATTGGCAAAATATTTAGTCTTTTAACACATTGATATACTAGATATGGACAGTGAATCAGACTAAAAAAGTAAAAGCCTATTGCACATTTTATTCTGACCCTGCTTATTTATTGAATATACAGTACACTCTGGAGGCATACATTTAGAGTATAACAAGGTAAATTGAACTGTCATAACTTCAGTGTCTTTTGTTGAGTGACAGCATATAAATACATGAGTAAGTTTTATATTGTCCCTGTTGGTATACTGTATCAGTTATATTATGCAAAATTGGTCATAGCAGGCCCTCAACAGATTCAAAGCAGAAAGTCAGCATTTATTTAATGGTAAAGCATGAAAAAGTTGAAAAGCAATTCAAGTGCTATCATTTGTATGCCTAGGAATATGTTAGCTGGGACAACTATGAATTCAGTGCTGAGGGTGTACTATATTCTTTTGTTAGGTTGTTAGGGTATAAGAAATAGAAGCCAAAGAATTATGGAGTGGACAAATTTGGATGGCCACTTAGTCTTTTTGTTTTTCAGATTTCTACTCTTAAGAGACTTAAAGAACCCCTAATTATAATGATGCTAATTGCCTGAAATGTAGGTTATCTGAGAATGCCTACTTTTATCTCAGTATGAAATCCCTTCTTGTCCCCATACCACAGCTAACCTCTTTTCACAAAGAAAGGTGTGTTCAAAGCTAGTGTCCTTTCTTGGGTTGTATATTCTTTACAAATTATTAATGACCTTATTGTAGCTTCTATCATAGGGAAGATTCTTACTGACCATATTATTAAACACTTTAAGACTTGGGGACGTTTCTAGAACAATTAGAGAATTTTTCCAAGTTACAGTCTTTTTTTCATACTTATTTAATGGGTCCTGTCATGTTATTAGCATTAGATACTCTTACTTGGAGATGATTAATCTGTATTGAAACAGTTAATCTAAAATGCATTTATAGTTTAAAAAAGGTACTTTAAGCAGACCTTAAAAGGGTTGCAACAATGAGTGGAACCCCAATCCCAACTGTGCAGAAGAAAGTACTATGAAGCGCTTTAAAATTATGGACCTTCAGCCCTATCCCAGGCCTACTGAATTTGAATCCCTAGTAGGTGAGATCTGGATGTTTGTATTTAAAGAAGCAGAAACTACAGATGATTCTGATGTAAATCCTGGACTGGGAACTACTATTTGTTTGGGACCTTTTTTACTACTGAGTTTATTATTGTTGCTCTTGATTTAGGGGGTTGCATTGCCTACCCAAAGCTTTTAACTCTTGGGTTCTTTTCTTTCTGTAAACTCTGATTACCTCAGGGATATGGGTTTGATATGTTGTAATCCTGGGAGCTTGGAAAACTTTCTTAACATTAAGATCTGACTTCACATCATAGATCAATTAGGTGTGATGACCTGTTAATCTTGAGATTGTTTTCTTATTTGTCAGAAGTAGACATAAAATAGACATGACAATATTTATGGAAGTGCTTTCTAAACCAAAATGTTCTGATTAATACTAATGATTATCCTAAAATATTGATAGTATTAAACAAGCTTTAATTTCTCATACAGGCAGAGGATTGGAATATTCCTAGACACTGTGCCACTTAAACACTGAGGCAGTGCTCATTGGCATGTTTGTTAATGAAGTTAATTAATCAAGGCCATACTGTGGTCATCAGAAGGCTTCCCCTGTTTCATGGGAATGTAATATTTAAGTATAAAATAAATCTAGAAACATTTTATTTTTGTTATAGAACTTAGTCATTCAATGTAAGTGAACTATATGCTGATTATTTAGAACTGTTTTCTAATGCTGGGTTGCCAAACCCTTATTCTACAGTAAGGGGAAAGTGTGCCTACCTTATAGATAAGGAAAGCAGGCACAGTCAAGCCCTCCTGTGGGTATCAAGCCCAAGAAAGGTTTTCCTCCCACTAGTTGATTATGTATTTAGGAGTTTTTCATTCTTACCATGGAACTTATATGATTTTTGTGTATGTGGACACTTAATATTTTGAAAATTTCTACTTACCTAGAATCCTATAAACTTTAAAAGCATTTGAAGTATATTAATAGTCTTCTTTTCTGTATTCCCTTTTCATTTCCCTAACACCTATATGTTAATCTTACTGAAAGGACAGGTAAAGAGAATAAAACTGGCTTATAAAATAGATACACATATAAATATAGTTTAAATTTGGGGAATTTGTTACAAAATTGTCTTTTAAAACGAGCTCTTCTCTGCTTCATAGAAATGAACTCTGGCTAAATAGCACTGGTTGAACTTGAAGCAGGGGAGTGATCTTAGTATATCCATAGAGTATGATATGGCTAGGGTTGTGAAATTAAAAGTCAGCTCTTATTTTATGAAGCAGTAGGTGGGAATCAATGATTCATAGCATGTGTACATACTTGTCTCATCTGCATATCTACTTTTTAAAAATAAGCTTTTAACATTTGGAGAATCACTGAAGTTGCTTTTTCCCTCTTCAAAATTTTAGGCCCACCCAAAATACTTGAGTTGTATTGCAATCAGCTGTTTTTTCCTAGCTGCCAAGACTGTTGAGGAAGATGAGGTAAATAATTTCCTTTAAAGATAAGTTGTCTCTTTTTTCAAAAAGTTCTCTCCATTTATTAACTTGCATCTGTTTACCAAAACAAAAATTGAAAATGAGTTTATTTTTTTCTGTTCTCTCCTCCCTGCCCCATATCCCTTTGCTTTGGATAGAAAATTCCAGTACTGAAGGTTTTGGCAAGAGACAGTTTCTGTGGGTGTTCTTCATCTGAAATTCTGAGGATGGAGAGAATTATTCTGGATAAGTTGAATTGGGATCTTCACACAGCCACACCATTGGATTTTCTTCACATTGTAAATATACCTGAAGTTTTACTTTCTTAGTTGTAGTCCTCTTTCAGTAACTTGCAGAGTAGGCTGCCCACTCACTTATTTTGTTTCCATTTTTAGGGAAAGGAAAATTATTGTGATAGGCTAAATAAAAGTTAGAAATTAGTATATATATCAAATCACTGAAGCTAAAATTGAAAACTTAGATGGAATAATACCTGAGGTTATTTCAATTTCTGTACATAATTTACCTAGACATTTAAATAAAACTAGAATGATGTTCATGTGGTTTTCTTTTTCAGTTTCATGCCATTGCAGTGTCAACTAGGCCTCAGTTACTTTTCAGTTTGCCCAAACTGAGCCCATCTCAACATTTGGCAGTCCTTACCAAGCAATTGCTTCACTGTATTGCCTGCAGCCAACTTCTGCAGTTCAAAGGATCCATGCTTGCTCTAGCCATGGTTAGTTTAGAAATGGAGAAACTCATTCCTGATTGGCTTCCTCTTACAATTGAACTGCTTCAGAAAGCACAGGTAGGTGTCAGTTTCCTTAGTGTTCATTTTCTCTCTTACAGGATACATAGTGTTAGCAGGCAGTTATAAAACTAAGAGAATTTTCTAATCTTGTAATGGCACAATATTTTTGAAAGTAAACAAGAGTGCAGTAACATAACACTTCAGATTTATGGGCTAGATGTCTTTTTCCTCCTGTGAAGCCTTAGTGTTTCCTTGATTGTTTTTCAGCCTTTCTTCTAGATTACTTAAAGTCTTTACAGATCATGAAAAATTAAGATTCTCGATATATTTGCCTTTAGTTTTGTAGCTACATTTGTAGGTTTCATTACTGTGCTTCTTTACTTCACTTATTTTTTAAAAGATATATATAAAATAAGTCAAAAGATAAAAGATAAGTCAAAAACATAAATTGCAGAAAGTGGCTTGCTTTTTAAACAAGCAGATAATTTATTCTTGGCTAGAAAGTGAAGTTATTTGTATCACAATTTGGCAAGTAGGAGCTGTATTTGTGAGAGAGGCTTTGTCCTGCATTTATGGCTGAAGATCAGTCCATAATCTCTATCTGCATATTGGTATAAAATGTGTTAATGGTCAGTCAAATTTTTACCAGTCGTGTAAAATGTAAGGGTTTAGATAAAATTCTCATTCAAATGGCATGTTAGTGCTCTATGTTAGGAACTACTTGGAGAGAATCCTTATTGGCTCTATTCTTGTCACCACTAGAACTTAAAAGTTTAGATCTGCAAACCATACTTCTTTGCCAGCTGAGTCCATTGAAGACTTATGAACTGACATTTCCCTTTATATGTGCCTGTTGAGTCTCATTCAGCAATTCTGATTTACTGGATTTTATTTAGAGAAAAGATTGAGATTCTATGCTTAAAAAATATTTTGTAATAGAAAAAGAACTAGTTTTAGCAAAGAGCTACTGTTACTGATTAACTTAAAAGAATACTAGAGACTAATACTTGAATTTGGTGTTTTGTAAGGTAGTTGAGATGTGAAAGATATGTGAGAAAAACCTCAGTACTACCTTTCAGCTCTGAAAATGTCAGGCCATAGTTTGTGAGCAGAGAAGAGCTGAAAGTTTTTATAAAAGGATGATGATTGGAGCACTATGTTAGCTAGTTCCTTGTCCCTGTTCTGTGGGCTTTGCTCCACTGTTTTTAGCATGGCTCAGATTGTTATACATCCTGGGAATACAGTGTTAGTGTGTAACATAGGTTGTTTCTCCTTTACAAAGGAGGTAGGTTCTTTTAATAGCATATTCTTAGATTGAAATAATTGAAATGTGTTTCTTTCCATTGAAATAAATGCTGTAATGAAAATAAATCCTAGGAGATAGTTGCTAATTAGTGAGAATTTTTAGAAATTCATAAGCTACCATATAAGTGAACAGCATGGCACAGAAAATTTACTTTGCCTACCTCTAGTGTTGGAGAATGAAGTTGAACATTAATAATTTACATCAGACTGTGGAAGTGGGAGAAGGGACATTAATAGAAAACCTCCTAAATTACATTTTCTACTTACTGGGACAATGACACATCTCTTAAATACCGTGACTTGGTCTCTCTGCCTGTTTCCAAGCTACTACAGAGAAAAATCTGCTGTATGAAGTATTAATGTCACGGAGAAAAGGCATATTTCAAAGCATAAGTAATAAAAATGCTGTAAATAACATGTATATTCTGTAGCTTTGAGGGCTTGTTCTCTGCTGATGAACACTGGAGAATCTGCTTACTCTCTTCATAAGTCTTCTGGTGCTAGAAGAAGAAAGTGTTCACTGAACCTTACTTCCCCTTTTACTGAAGGAGTATTATAAACTTGGTATATGAAGGAAGCTTCTTAGAAATGATTTTGTTCAACTCATTTGTACCTGCAGTCCAGGGAACTTGGGACTTTTCAGAGACACACAGGACTATGTACTAGTAAAGGAGACAAAAAAGAACCAGTTCATTTTCCATACCACACAAACCTTAAAGATTCTAGACCAGTTGTTTTCATTTTAAAGAATTAGAAACCTTCCCTTGTCCTCAACAAAATCTTGGACATATGCAATCCCAGAATACAAAGTAGAAAGGTATTACTGTGTAATATGGGGCAGAGATCTATTGGGTGTGAACACAGTGATTTCTAAAAAGAAGTCTTTGCCCCATGTTGTATTCAAGTTGTAACAAGATAGTTAGAACCAAGTTAGGTCACAAAACTAGAAACTTTGGGACTTGGGCTTAGCAGTTCCTGAAACCAACTTGGACTGGTAGCCAGCCCTTGTGGCCCAAACCTGGTAGCTTCTTCATTTCTGTCTTTGCTAAGTTCAGCTATGTTTAGGTAGGAACACCAGTCTAATATCTTTGTAATCAGACCTGTGATAAGCTCATAGTAATATCAGATACTCCTGGGTTTCTGTTTCTAGTATAGGAAATTCTTGAGTTAGATTGGTGAGATCAATGCCAAAAGTACTCACGATGTGTTTTCTAGTGTCCTGTTTTGGGAGGATGGCCTATTGTCCATTACAGACATTTTATGCTGTGAATGGGCCACCTGTCATTAGTTCTGCCTATGTTTTTTCTGGACTTTAGACAAAGTGCAGTGAGTACCCTGGTTTGAAAGGCACCATTCTTTTGTCCTACCTAATTTCCCATCCCTGCCCTTAGCTCTTGTGCTACCTGTTAGTCACCATTCTGGGATGAGGAAACTTTTTTCTCTTACTCTTCTCTCATCACTCTTCTTTTGTGGCTATACTCGTGTCCTCATTGTGAGTGATGTGTCCACCTTGTCAATCCCAGGATGTTAACCCTACTGAGTTAGTAATAAATGTATTTAGAGATAAAAATAATTTTGTGATCCAGGGTGTTCTTGCATAGCATGTTATTTTCCTTTATTTTCTCTGTGGTACTGCAAATAGTCATGCTGTGTGCTGCATGTTATATGGGTATGAGGAAGACTTGGCTAAGAAATGTCCAGAAATACTTAGGAAATACACAAGACTAGAAAGTGATTCCTGTTACTTAAATAGTCTAGATAGGCTTCATGGAGATGATGGTAAGGTAGCCAGACCTGGAAGAAATTGGTTATATAATTTCCACAAGTAGAAGTAGGATGGGCATGGGTAAAGCAGGAGAAGACAAGATTTGTACAGTAGCCAGAGCAGGCCTGTTTGGCAGGCATGCAGATAGAGCACAAATGGATATGCTAGCAAATACCGTTGGAAAAGAAGGTTGCATCAGACTGTGGAGAGAGTTTCTAATACAAAACTAAAAGGGGTTAGCTTGTTTCTGGTAGGCATTGGGGTGCCTAAAGAAACTTAAGTAGGGGAGAAATCTGTGTTTCTAGAGGAAGATTATTTTGAAAGCAGGGCAGAGACTAACCAGACTCTTTAACAGGTAAGATTTGAAGTCTTCCATGGAGTCATTGTGCTAGAAAAAAAACTTAGGGACTAAAAATGAATATGATACAATGCCTGCCTATTGGGATCTTAAAATCTGTAATGGGAAAGCTAAGTGATTAAATAGGTCATTTTAATGTAATGTGGTTAAGTATGGCACGTTGTTCAAGAAACAGATGACCCTTAGTTTCAGGTGTAGGGGTTGGGGGGAAGTCAAGGGTGGTTTCAGAAAGGATTGATACAAGAACTATCCTGAAGGATAAGAAGGTTTTAGTGAAACCCCCAACTTAAAATAGAAGCAGAAACATACATTTCTTCCTAGTGTTGTCAAGCCTGGTACTTCCTACAAAAATAAAACTTACCAGAAGTTTTTACAGTTTTAAAAGCAAAAAATACTTCTTCTAAATTCTTCACCAGACAGCCATCCACATTCCTTAACTTTTCCTTGCCAGTGAATTTTGTGTTTATCTGTACCCTGGTCTTGACTGTAGATATTAAGAGGCAAAGAGGGTGGAGTGAAAGCCCTTTTGGACAAGAGGAACAGACTAAGCAAAAGCTGGTGTTGGACATATAACAGTGTACAAAGAAGAATAGTTTTTGCTTTCATGAAGATACTAAGCAAACAACTGCAGATACAGAATTCAAGTTCCAGGGAGGAAATATGGATTTAGATATAATTCCTAAAAAGATGATAGGTAGGCTGGAGGAATAGTTATATTTGATGTAGAAGATGTGGAAAGAGAAGGTGGAAGGGGAGTGGGTGGAGGCCAGCAGAGATGACAGAGCAGTTTACATTAATTACGGACTTTGTGTTTTCTCCCCTGGCCCAGATGGATAGCTCCCAGTTGATCCACTGTCGGGAGCTTGTGGCACATCACCTTTCTACTCTGCAGTCTTCCCTGCCTCTAAATTCCGTTTATGTCTACCGTCCCCTCAAGCACACCCTGGTGACCTGTGACGAAGGAGTGTTCAGATTACATCCCTCCTCTGTCCCAGGCCCAGATTTCTCCAAGGACAACAGCAAACCAGAAGTGCCAGTGAGAAGTACAGCAGCCTTCTGCCATCACCTCCCAGCTGCCAGTGGGTGCAAGCATACCTCTGCTAAACGCAAAGTAGAGGAAATGGAAGTGGATGACTTCTATGATGGAATCAAACGGCTCTATAATGAAGATAATGGTTCAGAAAATGTGGGTTCTGTGTGTGGCACTGATGTATCAAGGCAAGAGGGACATGCTTCCCCTTGTCCACCTTTGCAGCCTGTTTCTGTCATGTAGCTTTCAGGCATGACCTTTAAGTGTTAAGTAAGGTAGACTACTCTGGAAATGGGAACAGAAAATCAGGAAAGATTGTATTAAGTTATATACCTTATCAGGCTGATTTGAAATGAGCCAGAAGAAAAAACCCCATTTACTTGTATGGCTAATTATAATTGAACATTATTTAAGCACTTAAAGCCCAAAAAAGAAGTATAAAATTCAAAAGATCCAAAACTTTTCTAAACTAAAAAGTTTCTTTGTGGTGTTTGTCCATTCTACCCTTTTCTCTGATAAAACATGATGTAGATTTCCCATGTGTCAGAATTCACGATTTTTTTTTACATCCCCAAATTCATGGTTAGCAAACCTCATCTGTCCCGTGTCCTGATTTAATTTCCCTATTGCTTTGGCTTGCTTCTTTGAATACTTATTAAATTTTATGCATGTTGATCGATCTGTAGCCTGACACTGATTAGGAAACCCTCGTTAATTTTTAGCAATTTACTGAGCAAATTATTACAGTGAGACAGCCATGATTCATATTCAGATTAATCTGAAAAGGGTACTTGAGAATTGCCCCGTGAGTCAGAGGTGATAATAGGAAAAGGATTCACATTACCATGGTTTTGTCTCAATTTCTATTAGCTTAGGAACAAAATCGTTGTTTTCATTTTTATCTGCAAGTGAAGCTTAAAAGTGGCACGTAATTAGGACACTCAGATTTGTTGAAAGCATTTTTAACATTTATATAAAAGAACTCGTGATAAAGTTACTATATCCAGATGCTCACCAAAGAGACATGCAACAGTTAAAATAGGGGGCAACTGATAGTTTTCATTCATAATCAGTGAGAGAGACTAGATGTTGGGGCAGCTCTGATTTGGGTCTGTAACATGTAAGAACTGAATTCAGTACCCTAGTTTTATGTTAAACCATTAGGATTTTCTTGATAGTCATTTCCCCTGTCTCCCCAGCCTACCTGTATTTCTTTTAATGACTTTTGGATCCTGAGCTCCCTGTTCAGTCTGATGAAGGTATTTCAGTCAGAGCCATGTACTGATGATAAACGCATCTGGTAGCAATAAAAGTTGTCCTTAACCTTTGTATCTAGCTTTTTTCTGTTTGTGAAAAGGTGCAAGTTCCTGATTACTTAGGCACTGCTGTTTCAGCTACAGAAAATGATAAATATGCTGTATGCTTACAAAAAATAAGACATGAGAATTTAAATGTAATTGAAGGATGTAGGTTTTGACATAAATTTTTCTCCTCACTGGTTGACTGTGGACCTTCCAAACAATTAAGTTCTCATACTAATGGAACTATTTGTGAGGGCAGGCATAGACCCGTACCTAGATAATGTCACTTTCTACCTACTGATTTTGTACTAGTTTGGCAAAGCAAGAGTATTCTCAGGCCAACATTACACTTCTTTTGAAATCTGGGGAAAAGTTGGATACCTACCTATGACCTTACAATCCAAAAGGAACTTGCATGTAGGTGTAGGGAGTGGGAGGAAATGTTAAAGGATGAACTGTTTGTGGGTGAAGATAGTGATACTGGCCTTGGTAGACACAAAAACTCCCATTTAGCCTAATCTTCATCTGGTCTGTTTTAATTCTGGATTGTGAGAGCTCCAAGAAAGTTCACAAGTGTGTATGTCCATTGTTTCCATAAAGTAACAGCATTTAATCAACACTCTCCTCCCTCCACTTAGCAGATGAGAAACATTTCAGTTATATAGAAAACTAGCTGATAAAATTGAGTCTAGGGTCAGAATATCTTGTTTGTAGCCCAGTAGCTACAAATTGAATAGAAGTTAGAGGACAGATGTTAATTGAGGTTTTCTAATCTTACCAAAAATGATGTAAATTAGTTTTGAATATAGTACGGTTGTCATGGGAAACAATTGAGATGGGCTGCTAGCGCTCTTCTCAAAGCTTATTTAAGCTGTGGTTCAGTTGAATGATAGTTTTCTTTGGAGCCCAGACCCTCCTGAGAACCTTTTCAGCTTTACCTCCCTGCATTGCCTGCCAAGACCTGAGCAGCCATGGGCTTTTGGAGAACTTTGGCTTTGAGGCACCTAACTCATGGGTCGAGAGAAAGCACAATATTCTTGAATAGTGTGGGACTTTTCATTTAGAATTGTTCTGTTAAATTGGGTCCTGTTTTGCCTGAAACTATTCTCATTAGCCTGTCTCAATTTAAGTTCTGGCATCATGATCACAAACAATTCGAAGATTTGGAAACTTGATTTTTATGGTACATAATTGGTGCCTTCTGGTGGTTAGAAAACCCATTCTGTGAAGCCGACACAAAGGTAAGGAAATAAACTTGATAGGCATAAGTCAGTTCAGTCCACCATTTGACAAAAGTGAGTGCTATAGCTCTTGATCATAGAAGATAAATATTCATTCTTTGCAAGATTCGTTTGAAGTTGTGGAGAACTGAAATTTTTTTTTCTAGATGTCTTACTGTGCAGGAGGAGTAGGACTGGGAAGGGAGAGTACCCCCAAATACTAATAAAAAGCCAGATATAATCAGTATGTCAGAAATACTCCAACAGTACAGATTTGGATCTGAAGGAAGCCAGAGTGTGGCTTTGCATTCAGTTAAACTGGTGAGAATCTAAGCCTACATTCCCACTGTTGATGGGATTAGGACATTGGTGTCTATCCCCCAAGAAGTATTTTTCTCCTGTTAGACTCAATATACATGTGTGCCCTCTGTACTCTACATACCTGGCTTTTTCAGACTTCCTAATGTCCTCCTGGGGCTCCTGAGCCAACCAGCTGTGCTGGAACACTACTGCCCAAAGTACTGCAGTGGCTGAGCCACCGCTGCCCTGCCAGCGGGTAGGGAGCTCATTATCTTCATCCCTAATCAGTTGTACAATTCCAACTGCAAAGGAAAGACTTAACAACCATCCAGGGGGAGAGCATCCCTGGTGTACTATAAATGGTTAACTAGGTCCAACTTCCAGCTCATCTCAAACCTTTACCCTAGTATTTGATACCACCAGATTGTGTAACGTTAACTTCTAAAGCCTCCCAAACTCTTGAGATTTCAACTGTTAATGGGAAAAAGTCTCCCCGTTATCAAATGTATTTTTGAGCTTTGGCCACTAGATGGGGCTTCTAGAAAAATAATGCATCTTTCAAGTCTTTGGGGAGAAATTTGAGTTCGGGCTGTGTGAGATGAGCAATTGAACACTTGCCTCAAGTTGCTAAGCAATGCATCAACATCATTTGCGGTTACAAGTTAAAATGATGCCAGAAATCGCGTGGATGTAGGACTGATGGGAAATGAGCAAGATCTGCCACGTATAGGGCTGATAGTGGCTACGTATGTCCTACACCAAACACAACTCCACAAGAATCAGTTAAAATACTAAATTAAAGACACTAATTTTTGTGAGTTTAGTTCTGTTAACCTACAAATAAAAATTCAGAAGACTTGAAAATGGCCGAGTTCCCGGTCCTTTTGGCTGAGTTGGATCTGACTCACTAGAGCAGAATGGTTCGAGTGCCGGCTTAAGCAACACAGCTTACATCAAGGAATTAAGAGGAAGGCTTCCCTTCACCATAGGGAAGGTGGAGAGGTTTTAAATGATGTACTAGTTAGACCAATATGGAGGACAGAGACATAACTCTCCGTATGCCATCTGATTATTGAAAAGGTGTAATAAAAAGTAGTCAAGAATGTCTTAGGGAAATTTGAGAAGCGCTCACTTTAGTTTTTCAGTGCTCAGGAGCTTCCAAGTTAGGGATGGAACCTCTCCCTTTCCCTTGACTCTTAAAAGTGCAACCTTCATAGCAGCTGAAGTGCCGGAATCGTTGACCCTGTTGTTAATGCAACAGTAGGGCTGTAGAAAAGCATAAACCCAGTGAACTGATTTCTCATTTCTTGGAAAACAGCAAGAGGGACACCCCAGAACCACTGAAGCAGTTCCCAGGAGAGGACCTTAGGATCCTTTCCCTTTTTGGAGTGCAATGTGTCTTCAACGACTTAGCATAGAAAAGGCTTACCTTGTCTTTTACTCCAAAATTTGCTGTTTATGAAGTATACAGTAACAAGTTCAATTTGTAGCATGTGGCAACATCTCCAGCACTTACATAGGCCCAGTGCAGTGTATAGAATAAAGTATTTGAAAAGAAGGAGAAGGAAGGGGTGGGGAAGGTGCTGGATAGATGTGAATAAAGAAAAGAGTATAACAGGGACAGGGATTAACTTTGTCCTAATAGGCTCTGATCTAGGTGCCATAATTTTGAAAGTTTCCAGTGGACTGAAATTGCAGTCAACTCAGCACTGCAAGTAGCTGATTTGAGGCAGACGTGACATCTTCATTTGTGCCTCGCACAATGTTCCACTGACCTTTTATATACAGCTACTTGTCAGAATAGGAAGGTTGGAAAGGGAGGTGGGTAAATACCTAGACTCTCAGTCTTTTCTAATTATCACATTCACTCCTTCACTGCCCTGGGAGGGGTGTCAGTTGCTCGCTAGAGATTAATCTGAAAGCCAAATGCTATCAATTACAAGGATGAAATGCCATGGTCTTAAAAATTCAAGTACAGGGGTCTTTCAGGTGAGCCACATTGGTCTCAGTGTCAGTCTCCAGGGTGGAAGGATGACAGTCATTTGTAAAGCAAAAGGTTTTGTGTAGAAACATTTAAATACAAGGAAAATTCTTGTACTTAGTTTTTCAGCCAATGACAGGCAAAAGTCGTAACTAAAATAACTAAAGAAGTTTTGTTTGGTAAGTACAACTGATGGGAAAAAGTTTGGCCAAGATAGAGGGAAGATAACCTAATTTTGCCCCAGCCCAGCACATAATTCAGATCACCTCTCCTTTCTACATGTGCTGTGTGTGCCCATCTCAATAGACCCTGTCAATTACACTGACAGCAGCAATAAGGCAGAGTCTGTATCTGAACTATTTTTTTTAATTGAATGAAAAATAAAAATCCTGTTACCAATAAAATAGGTTTGAATGGCTCAATTCTCCCTTTTCCACAATCTTGCTTGGGATAAGCAAGTTGTTATTATGGTAATTAGCCATGGAATGGATTCTTACCTCTTAATTGGTCAGCCAGGAGAACTTGAGAACCTAACCAGTCTATCAACACTTGAGAAAAGGAGCCAGCTGAAGTAAAATGCCAACTCAGTGGACAGGTGCCAGTGTACCTGCACTTGACCGATGTTGTCCATGCTCACCTTTCCCTAGGGAACTAAACAGAGGCCAACTACTTTTGATAGCCTGCTCCCTCCCTCCCTCCCACTAGATGGCGGGCTAAGGCTAACCTGGAGACTAAAGGGGGACAGGAGGGGAAGAGCAACAATAGACTACACATTTCTTTAAAAAAAAAAACCTGCCTAATTTGATTTGTAAGTATTGCTCAAAAAATGTGTTTACAACCTGATACAGAATTTGTTTTTAAAATGATAGGGTAAATTGATATTATTAAAAATAAATCCAGTTGTAATTAGTGATTACAGTGGTTTCACACAATAGGACGCTTGTTTTTGACTTACAATATTGATAAAAGGCCCTGCACTGGAGCTGGTTAAGGAGTCAGTACCCACCCATCAAACCCCCACACCACTGGTCACAATCACTAGCACATTTCTATCCTTACGGATAACAATGTACAGAGGGGATGACTCTTGACTCTTCTATTTTGATCATTTAAAGGCTCAGAGGAACCTGACTTTATTGCATTTAATCATAGTGCCTTTCCAAGTACGGAAAGCCCCTTGCCAGCATGCTCATCAATTGCTCTGAATAACCTCTTTCTAGAAACTGAATGGTTCAAGAGGCTGGACCTGTTACTTCACCTTTCAACAGAAGCATGTTACCATTCTTAGAGGGGAATACTCCTAAGGATCTTCACCAAGGTAACTCATGCTACCACAAGTGTTATGACCCAGCTACTATGGGGCTGAAAAAAATGATGGAAATAAGCAAAGGCTGTAAACAAGTAATGAAATTAAAAGGTAACTTTAAAATGCATGTTCATGCTCTAAAATAGAAGTGAATTTGAATGCAAAGTTGCTCCTTGACTATGAAAACTGCCCCTAAGAGGTGACAGGTAGAAAGTGATGCAGC